CCCAGCCATAAACTGCAATGTACTGTGTCCACCCAGCGACTCCAAATGGCTCTTCAAACGCAAGATGACTGGGACCACATGGCTGAGTAGTGCTTTCTCTCCTGAAAGTTTTTCGGTGGCCAGTTTGAATGGTTCTAGGATCTCAACCAGCTGAGTGATGGTCATCCACTCCTGGTTGTTGGGGACCAGCTTGTTTATCGGAGCCGCAATTGATAGTGAGACAGCATGGACTGCCCTCTGTTGCTCCACCATGCGCTCCAACATGATGTAGGTGGAGTTCCAGCGGGTGGGGACATCCTGCAGTAACCGGTGTTGTGGGAGGCACTCCAGCGTCTGCCTGTCACGCAGCAGTTTTGCGGACTTAGAGCTACGGTGGAAGAAGCCCGCGATTCTGCGGCAGCGCTCAATGAGTTGAGTGACGGCGGTGGCGCTGTTCTCATCGGGCCCCTTGAAGCCATCTTTTACACAATTATGCAGCAAGTGCGCCATGCATGTTACGTTTGAGAAGCCGGCATTTTCGACCACCCGGATCATGTTCCTTCCTGCGTCTGTGACCATGAATCCCGAGTTAGTACCACCGTAATGAGTATGCTGCATCCAGTCTCTCATCATCTCTCGCAAGTACTCAGAAATGGTGTCGGCCCTGTGATCCGTATCTATCACCTCAAGGGACAGGAGTGCCCAACGATGACCTGAGTCTAGGCAACCCTTCATCTCCCACCAGTGAGCGGTCAGGGACAAATAGGAATGCCCTCCTCCCGTGCTCGTCCAAATGTCTGAGGTGAAATGTACATAGACGGGTTGTGATTTGTTCAACAGGGTTCTGAGACGTTGCTTGCATCCCTCGAACAAAGCGGGAATGACTGTTCGAGAGAAAGTTCTGCGACTTGGGATATTGTACCATGGTGCCAGGAGGTGAACAAATCGGCGGAAACCTTCCCTTTCCACCATACGGAAGGGCTGGTGGTCCAGAGCCATCATCTCTCCCAGGCGACGTGTTATTTCCTTCACTGATGGCGGCTTAAATCCAGATCTCACCCTTGTAACTTGCATGCCCCAAGCATCGATGGTTTTCTGCATGGGGCCTGTTGGTGTGGTTGGAGTGCTCTGTATACTGCTGCATGTGCTGCCGACTTCAACTGCGTCCAACTTCACATTTGGGTGGTGTCTCTTAATGTGCATCCTTAGCCCTGTTGTGACAAGATGCCTCATATCTTTTCCTCTGCTGACGCTCACACCGCAATGCCTGCAAACTGCCAAAGTGGTCCTCTGATTATGGACATCGTAATGATCCCATAGGAGCGATCTCGGCCTACCCCTACTACGCACTTCAGATGTACTCATGCTCGTGTTTGGACTGTCGGTGTTTGTGGAAGGGAGTATAATTGTTGGTTGTTTCTGTAGCTCGCCCTCCAGCAGCATGCAGTCCTCTTGATCACTAATTCCTGTGGTGGAAGCAGATTCCATATTGTCTTCCTCCCATTCCTCTGACACGTCCGCCTCCTCGCCCTCCTCTTCATAACAAGTAGGATCAGAGGTACTTGGAAGGACATCAGGATCTGAACGTAGAGTCTTTTGAAATGATGAAGAAGATTCTGCCATCTCACAGCTGGTTGAAGCATCTGTGGGTGTTTCAATAACCATCTCGTTGGTTGAATGTTCCCTTCTTGTCAATGTGTTCATCTTCAGTCCCCTGCCTTTCTTAGGTATTCGCGATAGCACTTGGCCCTTGCGACTAGAAAAGCCGGGAAGGAAGCGTTTCATCACACTGCTTGGAACTACACAAATAACGAGCCCTGTATTATAGCACTTTGTGTTGGCAAAAGGACCGCACTGGAACTACACAAATAAGGAAGGAGCACTGTATTATAGCACTTTGTGTTGGCTAATGCGCTGCACTGGTTGGAACTACACAAATAAGGAAGGAGCACTGTATTATAGCACTTTGTGGTGGCTAATGCGCCGCA